TGTTAACATTGCCTGTATTTCACTATATCTTGGTGTAGTTTTCTCTTGGGTTTTTTTCAAGTCTTTGTTAGAAAACAAAGCCATTCAGTGCTTAACTGAAGATTTCAGAACTGTTTAATTAAATTCATTTTTGCGCAGCTACCTGGTTAAGTCTCAGCACAATGCACATTGTAGATTTGCTTTTCGTGTAGTGTGAGCTGGGGAAGCAGGCAGGGCCACTAAATCAGTATAAAATTTGTTGTGTTAGATTTGATGCATCTTCATTTGGATATTATTGAACAGATTAACTAACTGTCTTTTTTCCAGGGATGCCATATACGCATTTTATGTTTATCAGGTAGGTCTTGTTTCTAGGCATCCTTGAGTTTAGCACAGTTCAAACTCAATTGCGTGAGTAGTTGTTAGTACTGACAGTCGAGATCTATCTGTTTACTAAACTGCATTAACAGTTCTCTCTTGAACTTTGTCTATGCTAGGAGTTTAATTAAAATAGCTCATGCTGTAATGCCTAAATGTAAAGGTCATGGTTAGAGGTTTAAGAACTCATATGGAGAAGGCTCCATATGCGATATGGAGGTATTCAAAATACATCAGACGCTATCAGTGGTAACCGCTTTCAAGACTGTTTTGCCAAGCTAAGTATTGATCGCAGTTTCACTAGTGTTAAATATTGAAAGGACGTGGCATTGTGGCACCTTCCCCATTTGATGCCCATATGATGGTTGGTTTGAAAACAGCTACGTAGCACAGTGTGGTTTGCACTGTCCCCACCCTCTTCCCAGATGCTGGCAATTGGTGCTAGTGGTTGTGCCGACAAAGCTTTCTTGGATGGGGAAAAAATGTTAAGCATTCAGCAAGATTTAAATACTTGATTTAAGACTGTAAACCGGCATGTTACATCATGCATCCAGTGGGCTAACAGAAGCGCCCTCTTGTTTGATGTCGTATCTGTAAGACACAGCACAGGTACTGGAAGTCTGTTTTCTGTGTGGTGACTTTCAGCTCTCTGGAGCACACTCACAAATGAATCTTCAGTGGTTAGATTTGCTGCTGTCTCTCTTTAGAGAAAGACAGAAATGTGCATCTTGGCATATTCATGTCCTTACAGCGGAATCTTCCCAGGACCCCCCCCAAAGCTTATGATACTTCAGCTGATGGTTCATGCTATAGATATTTCTGTAATGAGATACAGACGTTTGAAATTAACAGCAGTGATGTCGGGATAGTGCCAAAGTTAAAATTTAACATTATACTCCTATAGCTAAAATATGTATCTTTGAAGTTTTTAATAGTTTCAGAATGGTTCTTTTTTGTAGTATGACTTCATTCTTAATGTTTGAGCAGTGCTTTGAAGATTGGAAGATTAGAACCACTGCTGAACTGAAAGCTTTTTTTTTTTTTTGTGTTAATTGAGGATTGATGACCATTAAAATCTGACAGGTGGCTACTCCAAGTGATTAAATTGCTTTGGTATTTTGAACGCTAAATTTATAAGGCTGGGGGACTCTCTAGTTTTATTTAGCAGTTTTTCATATATTCTTTTCTAAAGAGTCTTTGTATGTATTTCTTGCTAATTTAGTATGTATTTCTTACATATTAATTGTATTTACTAAATCAAGCTGCGTATGATTATTGACTTGCGTGTATCAGAATTTAGAAATCTGTGGGGTGAGGTGTGTGTGTGGTGTGGTTTTTTTTTTTGTGGGTTTTTTTTGTGTTTTTTTTTTAACAGTAAGTGAAATTACTTGATACATTTTGTACTTGAGCAGGTAGCCTTTTGTAGTTGACCAGCTGCATTGCTTAACAGTAACAGCTGAAAAGTGGTTTAGTTACTGTTAATTTCACTTAGCAGTGGTATAGCAGTGAGGGTTCTAAGGGTGTTTAAAAACAATTCCAGTTTGTAAAAAAACACAGTATCTCTTATTAGATTAATAAGTGGATGGGAATTATAAATAGTGTTTGGAAAGTGAATTAGCATTGGATGAAAGATGGGCTATACTCGTGTTCATTTAGATTTCTCTGGGATATTTTATTTCTATGTCATTTGGAAAAATTGATTTATATTTCTCAGTGTGTTATGTTACTTGCATTGTTTATATTAAAACTTCATAGATTTATTTTTTAAACCAATAAAACTTTTGATTCTGTTCTGATGCTTCATAAACATAACATTTTTTTGGGGGGGAAATATCTAAATACAAGTTAGTGTTAACTTTTGTGTGTGTGTGTGTGGTTTACTCAATATGAAGTACTGGTTTGTGCAGTCAAATCAGGAAATGTCCTGGCATTGTCACTTGTACGGTGATCAGCTGTTCCTGTTGGATCGAGACTAGCAAGCAAATGGAAGCAACATTTTTATTGTTTGAAACTGGTCTTGTTATCACTAGAGAAATAGTTCTGCTTTATACTTGAAGGTCTATTTCTAGTCCTGAAACACGAGTTCCAGTGCACGTTTCCCTCTTGGTCATATGGTAGTATTTTGATGGCAGTTTTCAATCCAAGTTTAAGAGCCTACTATACTAAAGACTTGTGTCTTATGCGCTACATAAAACTCTCCAGAACACAGAACAACATGAAAACAAGAATCATGTTTCATTGGATGCGTTTCTCAGACTTGTTCATTTATCTTTTTATAAATTATTTCAGTAGCTAATGTATTTTCCAGTGCAGTCGTAAACCTGAGCTTCTACAGCTTGCTACCGAGTGTGAAATTTAGAGCAGTGAGTTCCTGACCGTCTCTGCTACCTTTCTCAGGCTCCGTTAGGAAAGAAGCTTGCAGATAGGCTTCTGTTGGGGTCTGTGTCTCCCTGGATAATATCTGCTGTGGTCTTCAGGCTGGAGACTGAAAACTGCAGGCTTGTGTGTGTCATTGCTTCATTGTGTATGGTGGTATTTGGTGAGCATTTAAGAGGTTTGAACCCTAGTTTTATCTCCCTGCAAAATCATTGGTACTCGATGACAGCCCATGCTCTTTTCATTTGCAGCTGCTTTCTGTGAGCAATTATCATCAGAGATGCTGCGATAAAATTGGCATCGTATCACAAATGCTCCTGGAATGGAATCAACAGGGAAGCAGGATTCGCAGTAACAGGGACAGTCAGTGTATGTAGAAAAATAAAGAGCAAATGAGGAGAAAAATACTAGAAAAGGTGAAGCTTACAAGACTGTGAAGATGTTGAGAATAGTTATGCGGTAGGCAGAGAGCATGCTGTGCTGTAACCTGTCCAGTTCGTTATGGATTCCTTGACTGTAGGAGACAGATCTTATGGCAAATACAAGATAAACCTTAACTTCACACTAAACACAAGTTGAATGTTATTTGCATGCTGGCTCTGTGGTAGAAAGCATCCATCTTCTGCATCTAGGTGATCTCAAACTGGTGTTTGCTGTGCTGCTTTCAGAGTTGTTAAATTCTACTATACTGCCCACTGATCTTAATTTCCTTACTGTTTTCCCATGAAATGAGATTTATATAGCTAAAGTATCTCTTTGTCTCTCTCCTCTTTTAACAAATTGAATAAGAAAGTTTGGCTTCGAAGGACCTGAGGGACAGATGCGAATGTGTATTGCAGTGAAACAGTGTTATCTACCTGTGATTGAGAGGCTTCAGTGTGAGTGTATCCGGATGCAAAGAAAGCAGAAGTGAGTGGTATTGTGGGTAAACAGAATCCGTGGATCTTAGTCCTGTTTGACACTTACATCCAACTTAGTTGGAAAAAGGTATTTTATTTTCCATTCTCCTTCGACCTCACAAGCAGGCTGTATGTGGAGTTCTTGTTTTCCCATTTTACCCCAAGAAGGCAATGTGTCTGTAAGTTATTTCTTTCCTAGTCATGTTTTTCTTCCATTTAACCTATATTGTGGCACTTTTAATTCATTAATGTTGTTTTTAAAATTGTGACAAAGTTCTGCTAAACAGCCAAGGAGAAAGCTAGGGACAAATATATGCTCCTGATGTGTAAACATGACCTTAATGGTTTGGATTTTTTTTTTTCCCCCCTCCTGTAGGATGTTCACTAAATACCAGTATTTGTATGAAATCTCTTCTTGGAGTGGTTGAGCTGATATCCATTACACTCATCTGTTTGCCAATAGATTTTAAAGTACTCTGGCTTTAATGACAACATAGTCGTCAGACATTTTCGGGTACCTTTTGCTTGGATGGATTAGAATTTAGTGAAATAAAACCTGCTTGTGCTGGAGAAAGTATACATTCGTTCAAGTCTGTGGTTGAGGTTATTGTGTTATCTTGTTCTGGTTAAGCATAAAATTTTACTTAAGTGTAAAGTGTTTCTGGCAAATTATTGACTATTTTTGTTCATACTGTTCCAATTTACAGTATCTTCTTATGAGACTTATTCATTGTGAAGTTCAGATTTAAGGAAGGAAGTGAGAATTATATTACTAAAAATATGATGAGTAATTTGTGCTTCTTTTTTTCTTCCCTTCTTTTATCATTCAGTATTCTTAAATATCCTGTGACACATAGTTTGCAAAATATAAATTACATGATCATTTGAAGTAAAAATGCAATGAGATGTAACTTTGAAGGTTAATGCAACTAAAAATTGATGCGTTTTGTGCCTTTAAAAAATTTCCTAACAGTTTCTGCATAGTTACTTTCAAGGTGTTTTGGTAGTTTCTTGTGCAATGTTTTCCTCAGGAGGGAGCTTAATGCCCCTACAAGATAGCTTTTAACAGTTACAGCAACAAGGTTAAGTAAAAAAAGATCAATATTTCATTTTAGAAGAGTGTTTCAGAAAATTGCTTTAGAACTGCATTTTGACCGTTCTTTTAATGGTCTTTTTTTATTCTCCTGTAATGTTAGCGTGATCTCCAGTTCTTCAACCTGTATTAAAATTACTGGTGTTTAAACCAGTAGCTCGTTTGTTTTTCATCTCTAATTTATGCAATACTTCAGCAATTTAAAAATTCCAAACATATAGTTGAGGACAAAAAAACCCATTGCATATTATGATTTTCTTGTCATTGTGTTCTAGGTTGTGTTAAAGATCATTAAACATTACCAAGAAGAAGGACAGGGGAATGAAGTGGTCCAGGGAGTGCTGCTGGGTCTTGTGGTGGATGACAGACTTGAAATCACAAATTGCTTCCCTTTCCCTCAGCATACGGAAGATGATGCAGACTTCGATGAAGGTAATGGTTACAGTTTTGCAAAAGCTTAGATTAAAAAAAAAAAATCCGTATGTGCAAGAAAGGATTATTATTTTTCTCCACAGTGACCAGAAGGTTGTATGTGATCAGAGAGTGGTTTTATTTGACTTGAGGCATCGGTGGGTTACTCACAATGCTATCCTGCTTATCCAAATGAAATCTTGTCTATGTAAGGAAAGTTATAGAGATAAATACTGTATTATACGGACACACTTATTTTAGAGTAAGACTGTCCACACAGGAAGTTAAATAAGTTTTCAGATTTTAAAGCTTTTTATGAAAATGACTGTGTGTGTATTATGTGTGTGTGTATGTATGTATGTACGTAGTCAGACATATAGGTTGCCTCTCTGTAGATTTATTTGTATGTGTTAAGTACTCATTAAAAGCCTGGAGACCAGAGCTTTCTAAGTTTAAGAGGCACTGGTTAACATGAAATCTGGGTGGTATTTTTGCTTCTCCAAGTGAGCTAGAAGTAGCATCAGTGGTTTCTGTCTGTCTTGGTGTTTCCTTGCTCATCCTAATAATGTTTTGTTATTGCCACTGTAAGTCAATGTAATTGGCTTGACACAGAATGGTATAAAATTTATAAATAAAACTCTAAAGGCTTAGAATTCTAATTTTGGTAATACGTATATGTGTGTGTGTTTAATGATACTAGTAGAAATGCTTCTTTGTTAGAGCTTAAAGAGAGATAGTTTAACTTCAGGAGTAACTAAAGAGGCAATATAGTCGAAGTATTTCTGGTTGGAAGCTTGAGTCTATCTAATTTTGATAATTCGGTATGAGTGAGTTTACTTAAAGCATAAACTGCTTTTTCGTGCTTAAAACAAGGTTAGTTATTATTAAATTAATATTTTATCTTATTATAAAAGAATCAGACTCTGCCTTTAAAACGAATAATTCTAAGAATTCTTTGCAACTTGGTAAGGTTTCTTAGCTGCTTGTTCCTTCTGTTGTGGGATTATACAATTTGCTATAGAAAAAAAAAGGCAAAACACAAAGGAATCTTAATTGTCCTTCATTAACATGGTGCTTGAGTCAGAACTATATTTTATTAAAGCCTAAAGTATGTTTTAAAGATTCTTTCTCTTCTGGAGCTCTTCAAAGGTTTGCAATAATCTACGTTTTTAATTGGAGTCCATGCTTCAGTTTTTCCTGTGGAAAATGGCTGAATTGTTTCCATGTAGCTGATGGGCAAGCAGAGAGTGACATAAATTTCTTAGTTTCTGAGATGGATTCGTCTCACCATATGGTGACTACCATGTTGAAGCTGTAAGTCTGTGATCTTGTATATAAGGTTCAGCTGTTTCTGCTTGGGAGAAACTTTGTTCCAAGTGAGTGACTCTTGTTATCAGCCTTTCTTTTTCCCTTTTTAGCAAGTAGGCAATAATCCTGACATGAAATAAGGTGCAAAAGGCAATGCTTGTGGAGCTTCCCTCACCTGAATGTCTTAGCTTGTCAACCTTCTGTTCCCATATGCTGCAGGCACAGAAGGAAGAACAAACTCTGGCCAGAGTCAAAAATGAACCTATCACAGTGACACCGATGCATGCCTCAAGCAGTGATAGGAAATTTGCAGCCAGGTCAGTGCAGCTTGCCTGTGCTGAATCATAGAATCATTCAGGTTGGAAAAGACCTTGAAGATCATTGAGTCCAGCCGTTAACCTAACACTGCCAAGTCCACCACTAAACCATGTCCCTAAGCACCACTTCTACGCACCTTTTAAATACCTCCAGGGATGGTGACTCAACCGCTTCCCTGGGCAGCCTGTTCCAATGCTTGACAACCGTTTTGGTGAAGAAATTTTTCCAAGTACCAAAGTCAAAACTTCCCCTGGCGCAACTTGAGGCCATTTCCTATCACTTGTTACTTGGGAGAAGAGACCAACACCCACCTCGCTACAACCTTCTTTTGGGTTGTTGAACCCTACAAGCCAAGCTCAAGAGCCATATTGTATTGGTTTTCATCTTCCCTAGCCTCTACTGTATGGGTCAGAGAGATTCTTCTCTCTGTATTCTCCAAATAGACTGAACCATTGAGGAAATACACAGTGCTCATGTTCATTCTGCTTTCTCTGTACTCGTGACCTGTTCAGCCCTTTGACCTATGTGGTAGAGGCTAGGGAAGATGAAAACCCAAACAAAATTACTCTTGAGCTTGCCAGCTGAGCATTAGGTACCTTTTTAGGCTCTATATAGAGTTGTCTTCTGTCTTGCCAATGTGAAAAACAGTAATGTTTTATAAGTACTCCTTGTTTGTTTTTCCTGGAGCTAGGCAAGCTTCCTACCAGATTTTCAAAAGGTTCTTTTTTCTTCTAGATACAGATACTCCAGCAGAGAAATCTCTTTGTTATATGCCAGAATCTTAAAATTCAGGATGCTAAAAATCAAACCAAACATGGCACCTCCCTCCCTCTAAGACTTGTATGTTACATCAGTGTCACAACTGGATTTATATATTTGCACAAATTCAGGCCCAGAGATATGGAAGGAAAGAATAAGGTTCTTGGCACTTCAGTGCCTCTGTCACTGAAGTGATACTTAACGTTGTTCTCTTTGGTCAGAGTAACATTGTATTGTCTTTTCTTCTTGCTTAGTGTTTGTGGTGTGGTTTTTTTGTTTGTTTTTAAATCTCGCCCCCCTCCCCTTGTCTAAGATTCTGGCATAGTAACAATTCCATTTAGATTCATAGAATCATAGAATGGCATAGGCTGGAAGGGATCATCTAATCCAAGTTTCTGGGCCTGCAGAAAGCATTTCTTGGTAGACTTTGGTCATACTTGATGTTCTGTTAATGCAGGGACTGTTACGCTGTCTGAAGGTCCACACTACCCCAGCTGCCCTTCTCCTGCGGGGAGAAAACGGAGAGTCACCATGGGGCTGTTATCTGTTGGCAAACTCCTAATCTGCTATACGGAGAATTCAATGAATACACTTAAAAAATAATTTCTTCTGTATTGTTTTGCAGGAGTTCTAGAAACAGGTCACCTGAAAAATACTCATTTACATTCTGGTCTTGAGATGATCATTAAGGGGGTTGAGCTTACGTACAGGAGGGTGATATTTGAGCAAACAAACTGTAGGATAGTTGGCAAGAAACATTCAAGTTAATGTTTTCCTTTTTTAAACTGAGCAAATCTAATATGTACCACATTTTTGAGGGTGCTAAGAAAATATCCTTAATTTGAACTTGAAATAGGTATTCATGACATTTAAGAATCAATTTGATAAAGATGTATTTCTAACTTGTTGGCAACAACCATTTCTTCAGATATGCTTAGATATGCTTTTGTTATGGTGCCATTTTATCTCTTGCTGCTAATGCCTGAGATAGTATTGTTTTGTCTATTTGCTGCAACAGAATTCCTTCAAAAATAAGATTTCTGATTTAAAAAAAAAAACATATCCAAACTTATTCTTCTAGTGCAAGAACACTTTTTAGTGCAGTTTCAATTGGACTATTTCTGGAAACTACAGAAAATGTAAGAGTTTTTTTTAGCTTCAACTAATTCTTATTATAAATCTGGGAGGATTCTCTACTGTCTATGAATCCACAGGTGTTTTTCATCTCAGAAAGTTTCTCCTGCAGTCATCTCCCTATGATTATTTTAACAAAGTGTAATTTTTTGGTAAGATTTTCCTGTCAGGGAAGTCTTAAACACCTAGGCTGGCCTGCTGCAGCACAAGATTGTTGGAGGGGGCGGGAGGGTTCAGCCCAGCTCTGTGTTGGAAATCTGTAGGTGAAATTTAGTTGATGATGTGTGAGCTAATGGAAGAGAATTGCAGAACAGGACTATGGTGTTGAGTCTTCGGCAAAAGATGCTTCAACAGGAACGTTTGATATTTTGGAGCTGCACTCTGAACTTTGGGGCAGGCATTTACTTTTCAAATGACTGTTTCCTTAATGCTAGTGCACTTAAAGCCTCATAGGTATTGAATTTATTTCTCAAAACACAGATCTTAAAATTAAAGAAGATCCTTTCCGTTATCTACACGTAAAACCCCTGTTCCCATGTGCTCCCTCCTCCCCTCCCTCTCCACCTGATGCGTTCAGCTCTTGTTCAGGGAAAATCAGATTTCTGCTGTAAGGATTTTTGGCTTAGGCTCTTCTGTGAAATAGTGCAGCACCCCAGCTTGTTTTTGTAAGGGTAATTTTCTGAAAATGACTTTGACTTCAGAGCACTTCCAAGCTTTTGTCTGAGCATAGTTTTGCTTGCTTTCAGTTCAGGTTTACAAAAAAGGTATCATGCGTGAGTTGTATTTTCTTCCTAAGAAATAAATGTATTGTTCTTGACTATAAATTGTGTCTCTAAGCGACACGTGAACTTCAGTCCTTCACACTTCATTGTTTTTATCTTCAGTGCTATTCATTGAGTAGCTCTTCTCCTTGTTTAAAGGAAATTTAAATTCCTTTCATGGAAAGCAACAGTTAGAAATGTAGTATACATCTTGGAATTCATTATAGATATTTTGAGACATTATTTTGTTAAGATATTTTGAAACAGATTTTATTTCAACCTGATATATTTTAGTACATTACTTACAAAGCTGAGATAATAAATTAAGTGCTGTGGTAATTACACCAATAGAAACTTTGAGACAGTTACATGATTATACATCAAAATAAGTTCTAGAAAGTTGCAACTTTTTTCTTCTTTTGTAACTATGCAGAGTTTTTATTAGGTTCCCTCTGAAGTGCTTCAGATGAAAAGGTGATGCTGCCTTCTCCACCCCCGATGTGATTTTTACTTTTTTACCTGAGAAGGTTGATTTTGTTTTTCAGTTTCCAGGTTAGAAGTATCTAGATGATCAAAGATTCTAATACCTGTATGTTTCTCTGCTGTAGGTTGTTACTTATTTGTATCATCAGTCAGTAACAACTAGAAATAACAGTGGAACATTTCCACAAAAACACTCACTGTTTTCTTTGTTTGTGGCTTTTATTTAGCCTCGAATGATTGCAGTTCCAGATGAAAAAG